GCTCTTCGCTTAGAGGTTGGGTTAATATCAATTAAAGCACAGGCTAAAGACCTTATGCTGAAATACTGGCTTCAACTGATTTTTTCATTAGAAGGCTTGGCCCCACTGATCCTACTAGATTCCTTTCAGTCGGAGTGGAAGAAGCATATAACTGAAATATTGAAAATTGGCTTTTAATGCGTTCCAAATGGGCCCAAAACTCACCGTTATGCGATGTTCCTCTATAGCGCAGGCATTTTCGTGCCATCGGTAAGCGAGGGCAGGGCGCGAAAACACTGCGCGTGGCCATTTTGGGTCTTCCAGTGGCCATTTTGGAACCGCCGATCAGCTGATTTTTAAAAAACGCTATGCGAAGATCGGTAATCAGCGATCGCATTAGCGATCCCAAAAAACGGATCGCTATGCAAATTCGTCGTTAAACGGTGCACTCGTTATGCGAGGCACCACTGTATCTGTAAATCTCCTGAGAGATCAGAGGAGGATTATGTCCAGTGGCTACTCTCTGACAATACCCCTTATATTACAAATGGCCAATTCTGTGCTACAGCAATGGTTATTTGTAAACAGATGTTTGCGTAGGTGATTTTAGATGGATAATATTTTTTTAATATAGCACTGCCTGAGGTTTTACCTATATTAAGGATATATGTTATTAATTGGAAAGACAGGGTTGTTTTATCATATCTAATGGAATTTTATTACCCTGCCTGACTTTACGAAGCAATAATTATATGTATCTATTTTATATTGATTTGATTTTACTGGTCTTTGACTGTAATAAAGTATACTACTACTATCACTTATCTAGCCCAATAAAAAGTTCAGAACTCAAAACCTTGGTCACAGTTTTGTGACATATTTATTAGCCTAATAAACAAATTAGCCTAAATCCAGTTTTTAGCACCAGATCAATTAGACTTGTGTTACTGTTGGCTTATCAAACTGCCATCAATTCAGAGAGTATGCTCTTGTTGGGACTTGCTATAGGGTTTGGGCCATTACCCAATATAGATTTTTTTCCCTTTTTCCCTGAGGCAATATTTACCTTTACCAATGAAGCTCCATACAGGTTTACTCAATAAGCAACACAGCATTCAGTGGGACTTACCTGGATGAAGATGTCTATAGGTTTCTCCTCTTCATATACGTATTTCTATTCACATAATGAGGACCGTTACTTATTTGGGACTTCTCTAAATTCCCCTCCTTTAACTCTGTTGTAACTTCTACACATCATAGGTTTCATTGCCTTTTCAACTGCTTCATTTTTCCTCTTGTCTGTCTACAAATTAATGAGATTGTGCCCCAAGCCTGAACAACAGCCTCCTACTTCAACAGCAACACTAGGATTTTCATCTGCCACTCTAGTCCTTGCTGAGCTCACTCTTGATGTCATGATAGTTTTCTGATGTCACACCACAGTCCAAAGCTATGGCAATGAACACTGTCTTCGAATGTCTGTACTGCAGGTCAAAAATATAGTATCTTCAAAATACAAATATGTGGCTTTCAGACAACCATTTGCAGAAACTGATCCTGATACTATATGTGTTGGTGCACTGAACGTTCAATATAGATGACTCGGAAACTGTTATTATCACTGCGTATCAGGATTAGGTCTCACAAAAAAAGATAAAGACAAATCTATTTTTGAAATGTTCCACTCATACTGCTTCAGACAGAGGTAACAGAAGGCTCTCACCTGATTAAATGCTCCTCCTTAATGACTATTCATTCAATTTACCAGGAGCTGCTGTTGCTGCTACTATTTCTACTCAGTTGCTTCTCAGTACTGCTGGTGCAAAAGATAGCCCAAGGATCAAGCCCAAAAATTAGGAGTCATGTCCTACAATTTATGGGTGAGACAATGTTTGCAAAATCAGATTTTTGAATTTCAGGAAGCAATTTAGCTGTTACTGTATCGGCAATTGTTTTAAATTGGGGAAAAAATCAGAATCACTCTCCTTGTTGAAATTAGTGTAGACAGAATGGCCTGATCTTGCTTCCACTTTAAATTTCTGCCTTACTGTTTGGTATTTTGCAGTTTTTGTAATTTCTGTACTTTTGCGGTTGTTTGTTGATGGAACTCCCACTTCTACAAGATATGTTTTTCTCTGTTGCTTACTTAGAAGTATAATATATGCTTTGTTAAAATCAGCTGTTTTATTCCTGATAACTTGCTTGTCCTAGTAGTGTAGTTTTGTTTTCTAAAAGTGGTGATGGCTGGAATTTATAACAAGGAGGAAAAGATGTGTGTAATCTGTAAGATTTGGTTACCCACTGAAGGGGGATCTTTCCAATTTGGTTATACCAGCTCCTATAATTCATTGTTGCTGCTTACCAATAGGGTTCTCTGCATCAATCACATCGTGTTGGATTTTACAGCCCCATCACCATTTTTCCTTTTATTTCTTCAACCTCCTTTTCTTACCGGAAAAGAAAATCTGATCGCCAAACGAAACAGATTAGAAACACATGCCTTTTAATTGTGAGCTGTCGGCGACTTCAGCAGACAAACACCCTAGGGCCAGGCGAACTCCTAGGCGTGTAAACAAACGGTGGGAGAGAGAGCGTGCGCCCCAACAGAATTTTTTTTTTTTTTTGCTGGACTGCAACTCCCAGCATGCCTACCAACTGGTTATGCTGCCCAGAACTGACGGGAGTTGCACTCCAGAAGCATCGGGCCACACTCTCCCATAATTCACTGCGGAGCTTCCTTCTCCGCCCCCTCCCCAATCACTTTTTCTCCCTAACCCTTCCTCTCTTCGCTTGGGCGAACCTGCGACCGCCTGTGGAGCTCCGCCTCCTTAAGAGGCGCTCTTCCTTCTCCTAAGCCCCGCCCCTTGCCTCGCGATGCCGCGACTGGCGCTCCCTGCGGTCGGCCGCTTCGGCGCTGCGTTTGGCCCGCCTCCGCCCGCGACACCAGTTCGAGGCCCGGCGGGGGCGTTTGGCTGCTGTTAACGGCGGCTGGGACCGTTAGTCAGCGCGTCCGCCCCCCCCCCCCCGGAGAGCGGAGCGCGTGGCCAGGGTCGCTTGAGGCGAGCTTCTCCCGCCCTTCCGAAAGCGAGCGAGAGCGAAAGCGAGGCGTCCCGGGTAAGCGGCCCATCATCGCCCTTTGTGGGGAGGAGACCAGTCGGGCCCCCGAGAGCGCCCTACCCGCCCCCTCGCTCCGTGTTGAGACCCCTTGTCCGTCGCGGGCCCCTGTTTTGACGTATGTAGAATTGTTTTCCCCCTTCTCTCGCTTCCGTGGGAGGCCTCAAGGGCACGGCCGAGTGTTGCTTGGGACCCTCCCACGCCCCAGGTCATTTCCTCCGGCTTTTCCTTGTCTGTTCTCTCCCGCCCCCGAGGCGAAGGGCCGCAGGAGCCTCGCCCTGTGTAACGTTTTCTGGTCGTGGTCCTCGCCGGCGTCTTCTCTCCCCCGAAGGCAGGAGGAGGGAACGTCTCGAGCTGTTGTGTCAGTGCTGAGGAATCTCGGCTTTTTGGGGGCCATCTTTCTGAAAGTAGCTGAGATGCGACCGGGATAACTGCTGCTTTTTGGCCCCGTGGGAAGCAGAGGGAGCAGGTCACTCACTGCTTGGCTGCAAATAGGACTGCCTACATTACCTTAAGTGGCTGCAAGGCTGCTCTGGGGAACATGAAAAGATTCCTCTGCGAAATGAGTGCCTTCAGTTTCGAAAGTGGTAGCTGTGCTTGACTGGCCATGGTGGCAGCATGGGAAAAAGAAGGGGGGAGAGGCTGGGGAGGGGAAGATAATACAGTATGGTATTATGGAATTTGTGGTCTGGTGAATAAAGTAATGGACTAGGGCTCCGGAGACCAGGATTCAAATCCATGTTCAGCCATGGCAGTTCACTGGAGGTGTGGCACTGGTAAAGCCACTTCTTAAATAATGTACAGTGGTGCCTCGCAAGACGAGTGCTTTTACAATGAAATCGCATAACGATGAAGTTTTTGCGATTGCAAAAGCGATTGCAAAATGATGTTTCCTATAGGGGAATTTCACTTTGCAATGATCGGTTCCCTGCTTCGGGAACCGATTCTCGCAAAACGATGATTTTCCTACAGCTGATCGGCAGTTTCAAAATGGCCGCTGGGTTAAAAAAATGGCTGCCCGCTGTTTTCTGGGGTGGATTCCTCGCTGCACGGGCAGTGAAAATGGCCACACTATGGAGGATCTTTGCTGGATGGTGAGTTTCAAGCCCATAGGAATGTGTTAATTGGGTTTTAATGCGTTTCTATGGGCTTTTAAATTTCGCTTTATGATGTTTTTGTTCTACAGCGATTTCGCTGGAACGAATTAACATCGTAATGCGAGGCACCACTTTCTCAGCTTGAAAGCCCTACCAGGGTTGCTATAAATCAGTTCTGACTTGAGAGCACACACCAATCAGCCAAAATCTGATCAAAATCTGCTTCTTCAAACACATAGTGCAAATACATGTCCTTTGTATTAATACACCATGAGCAGGTGAGGATATGGTTAATAGATAAAATAATGATAGTCCCATTCCTGCATTAACAAACTATCAAGCTGTTATAGTTACTTGAGATAACTTGCCCTACCAGAGTGAGAAACTCTGTATCAGTTAGATTTGATTCTCACAGGGAGTTCAGAGTATGTCAAGGAAGACAACTGTTTTAAATCCACATGGGCAAATATGTAGTGTGACAAGAAGCATAGACCTCTATTTAGGCTTTTAGAGTTGCATTAGAACTTTTTTTTTCTGCCAGTTTCTGCTTTTGGTAATTTATGCTGGTTATGTCACTCCTGCTGTGCTGGCACAGCTCCAGAAAAGCATATTGGCGATTAAGCTTAGTGCACATGCATAGTTCCAGAACGTTATTTAATAATTATATTGTCAAGTTGCTTCTGATTTATGACAGTGCTTTCCAGGATTTTCTACATATAATGTATTCATACATGGTTTACTATTCATTTGTTCTGCGGGCATTCCAGGACTGGTCAGTTTGCTCAAAGCTACACCGACTGGCTCTTCTAGGAAGCACAGTGGAACATTTAACTTCCAAGGGTGGCTTCATTGTAAGGTACACACCTCACTGAGTTATACAGACAGCAATGTTATTCAAGAAAAATAGAAATAAAGTTTGCTTGTTAACAGCGTTCCGAGGTGTGTAACCGGTTGTTTCTTTCTGACATCTTTTACTTTACATAGTCCACTTACTTTACAGAATTTTTAAAAGAAAATGTTTAAGGTGTGAGTCAGTGTAAATATATTTTTGTTACAACTCGTGTTCCTCATAAAGTCAAAGTCCTACTCATAAACATTCGATAGTATACCTAGTGTATGCCAAATGTTGGTTGACATGTGCATGCCAGGTTGGTCTCAGAAATGAGAAAATTAACTCTAGGTAGAATAATCGTGATATTCATGCTATGAAGATGAGGCATAATGTCTAGGCCATATGTTATTCTTTTTGGTTTCTTCATCTGTCTTCCTTATCCTAGCTCTGTTGTTGATTGTCAGGCTGCTGCTTGTTTGAAGTACAGGTAATTGATTAATGAAACCACTACGTAATACTTCTGCATTAAAATGATCATGTTCTCTTCTTTCTCTGGAGAGTTGTTCAAGATCTCGGCTTGTTCTGAAGTTGATAACTGTCATTTTCTGGTTTCAATGAAATAAATGTTGGTTCAAAAGGGAAACATTAGCAGTTGTAGTCATTAGTGATTTTCTAGCTTAATTGTGATCCAGTGAAAGGAGGATGAAAGGAGCTGTATGGTTTGGGTTTTTTGTCCCCCTGCCCTTGATTTTTGTACAGTGGTGCCTCGCTTAACGATTGCCTCACTTAACGAAGAATTCGCTTACCAATGGGTTTCTTTTAGGAATTTTCCGCATCGTTTAACGATGTTCTCTATGGGGGATTTTCACTTAAAGATGTCCGTTTTCACTCATGTAAAAGTGCCTTAAAATGTTTGAAACCTGTTTTAAATGCTTGCAATTGTTAGTCCACCTTGTGTAATGTATGCAAACTTAATTTGGTGGTTTTCTGAGTCTTCGTTAATTTTTGGTGAATTTTTTTCTCTCTCATTGAAAAGCATTACAAAAATTAACGAAGACTCAGAACAACATCAAATTAAGTTTGCATAGGTTTCACGAGGTGGACTAACGATTGCAAGCATTTAAAACAGGTTTCAAACATTTTAAGGCACTTTTACATGAGCGAAAACGGACATCGGAAAGCCATTCAAATGCATTGAGTCGGCTTCAATGCATTTCAATTGGGGAACCGCGTTTCGCTCAACGATGTTTCCTATGGTGATTTTCGCTTAAGGACGGCAGTCCGTTCCAATTGGAATGGATTAACCGGTTTTCAATGCATTCCTATGGGAAATGGTGTTTCGCTTAACGATGTTTTCACATAACGATTTTTTAATGGAACCAATTAACATCATTAAGCGAGGCACCACTGTATTTTAGAATGTGTTTTTATGATTTTTGATTTTGTTTCTGTACACTGTCCAAAGTAGCTTGCTAGATGGGTAGTATAAAAATCAAATTAGATAAGTAGGTAGATAGATAGGGAAAGACATAGGCATATTTTGGTTTAATAAGCTGGAATGAACATCTAAACTGAGCCCTTGAATAGTTAGGAATCATAGTGGGTTTTTTTTTTAATTTTCAACTAAAGTGGGTAGTAAAAGTATCTGGATCAGTGTTAGCAGCTGCTGGGAAATTGTGGGAGAAAAATCAGGATGATGCCATAACAGAGTCATTAAATGGTTTAAAGCAGAGTGTCTGCAGCCATTAGAAATAGAGCAAACAATTGTCTGCTCAAATAAAGCAAGATATGTTCAGGTTCTGTGAGCATGCATTTGTATTTTGGTCAGTTCCCCCTCCCCAGCTGAAATGCTACAATTGTTTATTTGTTCTATTGATCATAAACAGAGATGCAGGGAGAGTTTGTGTTTCTGTGTAAAATAGCAGTTCTGTTTCTTAATTTTATAAGGAGATCTTCAACCAGAGTATAGTGGTGCCTCACAAGACGAACGCCTCATGGGACAAAAAAAAGCAAGACGAATGGTTTTTTTATCGCTATGGTGCCTCGCAAGACAGCTTCTTCTATGATCCTGCTTCGCAAGATGATATTTTTTCCGAGACTGATGTCTCGCATTCCTATGGGAAGCTGTTTTTCACAAGACGATTTTTTTTGCAAGACACTGCTTCTCAGGGAACAAATTACATTCATCTTGCGAGGCAGCACTACAGTATAGACTTCTTGGAATATGATTTTCTTCTGTGTACATTGCAGACTGTTATTTCCTGTTTTATGTTGATAGTGATTAGGTTTAGATGTCAGAACCACAAAGTTGTGATTCTCTACTGCAGAACAGTCCTAATGATCCCATCATGTAATAGGGAATGAACTGTATTAGATTGGTGGGAAAACATAAAAAATGTTAAACTCAACAATTATTTTCTCATAAAATAAAAATCTGAAATGGGACTAGTTGAGACATTGATAACATAAAAAGAAACAAAAAGATATTTCTTTTTAAGATAATATGGAATTAACTTTCATTACATCCTTGTGTAATTACATTACAGCATTGTGTTGATCCTAGAAGCTCACTAAGTCATGTTATGGGCACTTACATTTTTATTTATCTTTGGTCATATTATATATTTACAGACTTCAGCATATTTGGGGAATACATCAACCATATATGCCACCTCATTTTAGATGGTCTTGTGTCACTTGACTTCAGAACCCAGTGGCTGTGAGTTTGATTCCCCACTGTGGCCGCTAGGAGAAGAGCCGGCCTCTGTAACTTTGGGCAAGCTGTGCAGTAGCAAAGTGCCCCTAGGAGAAAGGAATGGCAAACTGCTTCTGAGTACACAGAAAACTCTGGAAAGAGCCTCCATAAGTCAGAGTAAGATTAGCAGCACACAGTCATTATTGTGTCGCCTCCAAACTGATAGGCGATTGCTTTGTTTTGCTATTAGGGAATAATGATTTATTTTATATATATGATCAAGTGGAGCTCGATTAGTAATTGTCAGATGGACATGACTAAGTGTGGAATTTTCCTTTTGTAGATAAACCTCTATGGATAAGCCTGGTAGTGATGCTGAAAGTGGAAAAAGATTGGTGTAACTGAAGACAGAATGAATCGGCTGCTGGATAATGAAGAAAATTCATTAGGTAGCCGTTTGGGCTCCCATCCTTCTTTACGGGATGTTCATTCCATCAACCCAGCACAGTTAATGGCCAGAATTGAATCCTATGAAAGCAGAGAGAAAAAGGGCATATCTGATGTCCGAAGGACTTTCTGTCTTTTTGTGACCTTTGACCTCTTGTTTGTAACATTGCTGTGGATAATAGAGTTAAATGTGAGTATTTTTTTAAAAAAAATATCCTCCGAGAGTTAAAAGGTTCAAGAATAGTGAATTCTCCCAGATATAATTAAGTTAGGTTGCAGTCCTGTGCCTGCTTACTTGGGAGTATGACATATTGGCCAAAATCATGTTGTTTAGGATAGTGAGTTGCACTAGAGTGGGCCCACTGAATCAGTGAGGATTTAATGTGTCACCACCTCTGTAACTTTCATTGATTTGAATGGTCCTACTCTAGTTGGGACTTTAGCATGATACTGTAAATTGTAGTTAGAGAAGGCTTATACGAATACTAGAACTTTTGTAGGAATTGTCTTACTAAATCCCCATTGATTCGGTGGGCCTACTATATTGCAATTTATTGCACTAAAGCAACAAGATTGGACCACTGAAATTAATGGGGATTCTGACTATTTATGTATAATATTGCAATTTTAATGCTTTTAAATTGAACTTTATTTTGGAGCTGCTACTGTAAAATAAGCAGCATTAGTTTCTGTGTATAAAAAACAAAAATAAAAGAACTGTAAGAATTGTCAGCTCTTTTTGCATAAGATGTTTTAAGTCCAAGTGAATGCAGATGAGACAATTTTGTGTTCAACTATGAAGTTTGATTGAAAATACATGAAGATACAGGTTGGACAAAATATAATTCAAACGATGTATTTTTATTTTACTTATCAGGTGTAGATTTAGAGCTGGTACTTGGAAACCAGCAGAATTCTGACCTTGCAGGAGCTATTGTCTTAAGTCTCATTTTAAAAAATTGAATGCAGTTGGAATGTCTAAGAAGGCACTGTGCAGCACATGGAAAACAATATTTTTAAAAAACAGAATAGTGTAAATATTCCTGACTCAGTAAGCTGTCATGTTGACAGAATAGGATGGCAATAATTCTGTGTACATAGAGCCCAGAAATGCACTACCTGATTAGTCAGAGTTAACATTTTCATAGCATTTTAGAGTGTTTAGAGTGTTTTTTTCTGTCACTTTAATAATTTTTACCAGCCAAAAATAGCCTAGGGCTGTCAGGAATTTTAATCAGGGACTCTTCTGCATAGACTTTCAGCACTGTACTACAGTTACAAGATCGGATTGTAATGGTAGGGCTGTTTGTCCAAGTCAGCTGTATAAACAACATTACAGGGGTTGTTTAAACTTTATGGGACATTTCAGACTCCTTTGATTGCTGAATGAACACAGACCTAGATTTACAGTATAGGTGTTCTGTCTTACTATCACCTGAACAGTTGTAGACATTTCTCCCAATTTAAACTTCTTGTTGTGTGGTTTCTCTTAATAAACTAAAAGAAAACAAAACAAAACCAAATACCTCAAAAACACAGACAGAACAGGAAGTGTACCCAGAACTCTCCCCCATTCCCTAAAGTGCTTTTATTTTTCCAACCAGTAAAATGAATTAGGACAAAAAAAAAATACCATGCCATGCTTCCATTAATCGTGATCAGGGCTTGAAAAATTTTAGAATGTCTCACCTGTCAGTCAAAAATTTCATCAGTCAGCTTGACCGGACTATAGCCTTGCAATTTATGTTAACAAATTAAAACTAGGCACTTGTTCACTTTTATTTCTATTTAACAATGCGTACAAACCAAAATAAATATACCCTCAGACTTGGGTTGCTTTATTACCTGCGTGCCTGTGGGGTCATGAAGCTTGTATTTTGAATGCCTTTCTTTTGAATGACTCCAGCAAAAATAAAATTGAATCAAAAGCGCCCAGCGTCTTAAGGAGCCATGGTTCCCTCCCACCCCAGGATGTGTCCTCATTGGGTTGAAATTGGGAGCAGGGAATTTCCATATTCTCCAGCATGGGACTACTCTACATTCTCCAGCATAGCTATGTATCTATGTGTTGCTCAAACTCTCCTCTCACAAGAAGAGGGCTGTTTTCCTTTTGCAATGGGAGGGGAGAAGGGAGGACTGCAGGATCATTGAGGGAGACACAGAGGGTAAGGAGGCAGGGAGGGAAGGAGGGAGGTGTGGCTCGTCAAGCAGCATTTTTCACTCTTCACAGACAAGTGGATGAGTGCATTTTTCAAGCCTGATCATGATGCAGCAGAGCTCTTGATTGTCAGTAGGCAGCCCCTGTTCAAATCAAATGGAGAGTTGTTTCTTGGGGAACACTGGAGAGTGGATAGAAAATATCCCATTACAAAAGGTATACAGTAGGATCCCTGTATCCGCAGGATCAGTATCCGTGGTTTCACTCTTCTGATGTATGAAAATTTAAAAATATTAAAAGAAAAAAAACCTAGAAATACATATTTTCACAATGTATTTATCAGAACTGGCCACTAGAGAAAGCAAGTTATGTGTTCTTGTTGAAGAATATATACCGTTTCCCCAAAAATAAGGCCTAACCTGAAAATAAGGTTAGGTCTTATTTTTGTTTGATTTTTCAAGATGCTTGTAATATAAGCCCTACCCCCCAAATAAGCCCCAGTTAAATGAAACCCTGCCCTCCACCATTGTGCAGTAACCAGAAAAAGATGACATGACTGTATTTGAATAAATGTAGATTGTGGTACATGAAAAAAATAAACATCCCCTAAAAATAAGCCCTAATGCGTTTTTTGGAGCTAAAATTAATACAGTGGGGTCTCTACTTAAGAACTTAATCCGTATTGGAAGGTGGTTCTCAAGTTGAAAAGTTCTTATGTTGAATCTGCATTTCCCATAGGAATGCATTGAAAACCATTTAATCCGTATCTGCTCTTTTCCGTCCATAGAAACTACAGTGGAACCTCTACTTAAGAACTTAATCCGTTTTGGAATGGTGTTCTTAAGTTGAAACGTTCTTAAGTTGAAGCAAAATTTCCCATAGGAATGGACTGAAAACCAATTAATCTGTTCTGGATGGGTTTTTTTTGTTATGTAGAGGTGCGTTCGTACATTGAAGCATTAGTTCCCATAGGAACTAATGCAAAGCTGGTTAATACGTACTCTACCACTAGGGGGAGAATTTTTTTTAACCTAAGATGACCTTAAAAAAAGAGCAGGAAAGGTTTTTTTTCCTGTTCTTATCTTGGATTTCTGTTCTCAAGTAGAAACAAAATTTAGCAAATGGAGCTGTTCTTAAGTTGGATTGTTCTTAAGTAGAGACGTTCTTAAGTAGAGACCCCGCTGTATAAGACCCTGTCTTATTTTCAGGGAAACACAGAAGTATTGTCTCTGGCATCCTCTATTGACCAGTTCTGGTAATACAAGATGAAAATACTCCTTTCTTGATTTTTTTTCTTTTACCTTGCTATGTATAGTGTTTGCTATTATCTGTGGTTATCAGCATCCATGGGGAGACTTGGAATCAATCCTCCTTGGATACAGGGATCCTACTACCTTATTTCTGGTCTGATTTCTCAATTAGAATTATCACAGGAATTACAAAAGCCTCTAGAACTCATTCAGCGTAATCTTTAAAAGAAAAACACTCCCTACATCTTTGCATGTCTACTCAGAAATAAGTCCCATTCAATTCAGTGGGGTTTGCTCCTATGAAAATGAGTATAGGATTGTAGCATAAGAAAATAACCAAGGCAGGATCTGGTAAAGTGCTAACCTTACATTTTGCTGTATTATATCATTATTGTAGCTTTTCCTGATGATTGATAAATTGTTTAAAATTCAGATGGCATTGTGCAATGCCATTTTAAATGGCTGCCTTCCCATTTCTGGTAAAAAATGAAATAAACCTGGTAACCATAAGGTTTAAAAACGTCATACTTCATGGTGTATGCCATCCAGTTTAAGAAAGTGTTTAGTGTTATGTTAGTTATGATTTGTGTATGTATAAGTTAAATTGCATAACATGGCAGTGAGTTGCCACTTATGAATGGGGTACTTGCTGAGTTATCAGGTGCATGTCCAGTTGCATAAGCATGCATGGGAAATGCAGCTGGTCCCTGCTAGTTTGTGGCAATTCACTGTTTTGAGTTTTGCAATTTAATTTATCAATGTATACATTACCAACAGGATTTTGGTTGTTATATAATAGCTTTAAAAAAGGTCTGATGCTTATTATATAGTAATTTTTATTTAACATGCTGAGAGTTTGTCTAATAATAACTGATAGAAATTTGTTTTTGACAGTAGTGTTGTGTACAGCAAGCCTAAATATATTTCCAGGGCCCAAATATACTTGCTAGTTCCAACTGGAGTAGACACTAAATTAATTGCTAGATGATTGATCCACACTTAAATCCTTTTGCTTTACTTAAGTAAAGTAAATGGGTTATCACCATTTATAACCAAGACCTACTAAATCCAACAAACAAACAAACTGCTAGTCCCAACTATTGTGAATAGAGATGGGGATATTCATATTTGTAAATGAATACAATTATCCCTATCCCAGATGGACCTAATAAGGCCCATTCACTCATGCATCCCGGCACTGTGCAGGTCCCACTCTTCTCACCAGTTGTGCCAGGAGCTCTGCTGTCTCCCTGCTTGGCTGGCCACTCAGCAGCCATGTGGGTAAAATCGTTCTCCCGCCCCCTGCCGGGAGTGGCCAACTGAGAAGGAAGACATTTGTAGCAGAGTTCTTGTTTCATTTTTGTTTTGCATTCCTACACTTTTTTTAAAAGATTCTTTAATTGCACTGGTAAATTCATCAAGTACCTTGCAAGGAGTAATAGAGAGACCATTACAAATATGTATATTATGCTTATGAATGCTCCATTACACATGAGGGTCAAAGTTACCTGACCTCTAGTATTGTGTTCCTCAAACACCAGAGAGAACTTTAACCTATCCTGTGAATTTAAAATCACTGATTTTTACATTATGTCAAAGTTGCTTTAACTCATATGCTGGGCATGCGTATGCTAAAATGCTACTTATGCTGATGCTATCCTAAAATAAACAGTGTAGCAAAGCCCTGAATTAACTCAGTTCTGCAAATTCTCTTATAGTTGCAAGTTGTGTTTCAGATTTTGTTTTGGTGGTAATTCAGCTATGTTGCTGCATGTTCTTGTAGCTCCTAAGTAAGCTTGCTAATGTGTGCAGAGTTTTTATGTAAGACTTTCTATTTTCCCTCATGTCAGGTCTGATCTGTTGTTTGAACCAAATGTAAAAGTCTACCAAGACAGTAACAAAGTAATAAACTGTCTTTTAAATTCTGTAGTAGTTTTATGAGTTGGCTAGCTGGTTTAATGAGATGAAGCACTTAGCTGTGGAGCCATGGGTCAGGGGTTCAGTTCCTCACTCACTCTACCCGTGGGGAAGAGCCAACCTATTTGGTCTTGGGCATACTACACGATCCAAGAGCACCCCCAGAAAAAGGGAATGGTGAACCACCTCTGAGTACAGTGGTGCCTTGCTTATCGACGTTAATCGGTGCAGCAAAAATTGCTGCTAAACGATTTTTAAAAGGCTATAGAAACACATTAAAATGCGTTTACTGCATTCCTATGGGCTTAAAAACTAACCTTATGCGGAAATCCTCCACTGCGGTGGCCATTTCGGTGCCTCTAAAGCGAGGCTAAACAGCGGGTGGCCATTTTGTTTACCCGGCGGCCATTTTGGAACCGCCGATCAGCTGGCCGAAAATGGGGTTTCATTGCTACAGGAGCGATTGCTATGTGAGGCACCACTGTACTTTGTACTTAGAAAAGCCTGGAAAGAGTAATTGTAAGTCAGAATTGACTTAATAGCATGTACAGTGGTGCCTCGCTTAACGAGTGCCCCGTTTAACGAAAAAATCGCATAGTGATGGCAATTTTTCCCCATAGGCACCATTTCCCCCCAGCTGAGCGGCGGGAGCTTTGAAGCCCCGCCGCTCAGCTGGGGGAAAATGTTGGCAGTGGGCTGCGGCCTCGGAAGGACCCCGAAGCCACCGTCCCCTGCCGACAGTTCCCTTCCGAGCTCTCAAAGGGCCCCCTCCGATATTGGAGAAAGCCCTTTGAGAGCTCGGAAGGCTCTCAGC